TGGCCTTTATTTTGAATCCACTTGGTCAGATATGAGTATTGCTACCCCAGCTTTTTGTTTTGTTTCCATTTGCATGGAATATTTTTTTTAATATCCCTTCACTTTCAGTCTGTGTGAATCTTTTGTTCTAAAGTAGGTGGGTCTCTTGTAGACAGCATATATGCAGGCTGTTTTCTTATCCATTCAGCTACTCTGTTTTTTTACTGGAGCATTCACTCCATTGACATTTAAGGTTATTATTGACAGGTACTTACTTCCTTGTTACTTTTTTTCTTTATACCTTTGTTCCTTTCTCTCTCGTTTTCTTCTTAAAATAGTTCCTTTAGCATTTTTGTTGTTGTTGTTGTTGTTACAATTCTGGATTAGAGGTAATGTACGCCTTTAACCTTATTTTTGTCTGGGAAGCTCTTTATTTTGCCTTCAATTTTAAATGATAGCCTTGCTGGATAGAATAGTCTTGGATTCAGTACCTTGCTTTTCATTACTTTGTATACTTCATGCTACTCCCTTAGGATCTGCAGTGTTTCTACTGAGAAATCAGCTGACAGTCTAATGGGAGCTCCCTTGTAGGTAATTTTCTGTCTCTGTCTCTCTTGCTGCCTTTAAGATTCCTTTTTTGTCTTTAATGTTTGCCATTTAAATTATGATGAGTCTAAGTGTCTTCTTTTTGGGTTCATCTTGATTGGGACTCTTTGTGTTTCCTAAACTTGTGTGACTTTTTCCTTCATGAGGTTAGGGAAGTTTTATTATTTATTTCTTCAAACAGATTCTCTATTCCTTGCTCAGATTCTTCTCCTCTGGTACCTCTATGATGTTAATGTTTTTATGTTTCATATTATCCGAAACCTTTCTTAAGCTATCCTCCTGCCTTTTAATTCCTTTTTATAATTGTTGCTCTGATTGGGTGTTTATTTTATACCTTGTCTGCTAATTCACTTATTCAATTCTCAGCTTCTAATCTACTGTTGATTCTTTTCAGGTTATTCTTTATTTCACCTATGTCATTTTTAATTTCTGATTGGTTCTTATTCATGGTTTTTATATCTTTTTTTCATGCTGATGTAGTTCCCACTAAGTTGCTTGTAGTTGTCACTGAGTTGTTTGAGCATCCTTATAACCATTACTTTGAATTCTATATCTAATAAATTACTTGCATCCATTTCATTTAGATCCTTTTCCCGTGATTCCTCCTTTTCTTTCATTTGGGGGTCCTTTCTTTGTCTCCCCCATTTTAGGTGTCTCTTTATGTTTGTTTCTATGTATTATATAGAACTACTACGCATCCCAGTCTTTGTGGAAAATGTCTTATGGGACCTAGTGGGGGAGCCTTTTTTATCTCCTGAACTGGATGCTCTAGGAATGTTCTTTGTGTGGGTTATTTGGGCTCTTCTGTTGTACTTGGCTCTTGATTACTGATGCCATTTGAAGGTGGGGTCTCCCCTCTGACTTGCTGACTGTAAGCTCAACCCAGACCACATCATGCCAGCTGTTAAACAGGTTTTTGGATCTGTTATTTGTAGAACTCACTGGATTTTGCTCTGATGTTGATTCTGACCCCTTGGTGTTTCAGTCCCATGCCTCCCAGGAGGTTCCCTGGTACAGGGCCATGTGGGTCACTGTCTTGAGTGGCCGTGGACACTGAGTCGCAGTGGTAGGTTTGGATGGCTGGTCTGGGCACACCAGGTTGTGCTGGGTCACAGTAGTGGGTCCAGGCATCCGAGGCACGAGGTCATGGAAGTGAGGTGGGCACTGGTCTCAGGGCACTGGATTACAGCTACCCCTGCAACCTCTTCCTGAGGAGGACCCTGTAGATTCTCCAAAATGGTGTGCTCTCCAATCCTATGGGGGCAAGAAGTGCCTGGCCGAGCAGCACATTGGTTACCTGGCAGTTCCTTCATCAGGAGAGCCCAAACTGCCTGCCCTGAGTTCCCATACTGACCAACAGATGCCCACATACACTCACACATGCTCTCCCTCACACACACTCACCCACTCACATTCTCACCCTCACTCTGGTCCTGCCTGCCGCCATGTGGGAATCTTTGCTGTTTGAATTTTGATAGTTCTTTTTGTGAGTCTGAATTTTTTCTTAATATTCCTGATCTTAGATACTCATTTTGTGAATATAAGGAGAGATGAACATCAGTATTTTTGTAAAATTTGTTGCACATGATGTAAATATCAATCAAAGGGTGTTTGTTAGGTGAAGTGTACTTTATGCACTGATTAAAACAATATTACTTTGAGGAACATTAATAACAATTAAGAAACATGATATAAATGTAAAAAGAGATCATATATGGTATGATAATGATTTGAGAAATTGTATTATGTATACATGCATATAATATATATTTATTATGTGTTATATGTGACTATAAAATACATATTAGTAATCATCTAATGTATATATAACTACTATATGCACTTTTATAAATAGGAAGATAGATTTTAGAGCAAAGAAATGTTCTCATTTTACATGAGAACAAAGAAAAATTTTAAAGACTTTTAGGAAGCTTTTAAATAAGGACTTTAGTACCTGAACATGTACAACATTCCTACATTTTAACATATGATGATGTAAATTCCATTAAATCCAAAATTGTCTGTGGTAGACAGAATTTCCAAGGTGGTCTACCCAAAATGTCTAAGATCAAATCCCCAGAATCTGTACACATCAGGAGAAAGATTATTTGGGTGAAACTAATATAATCACATGCACCTTTAAAGGATGGAACTTTCTCAGGCTGGTAGCAGAGGAGAGGCCGAATAAAAAGTTGGAGAGATTCAAAGCATGAGAAGGATGCATCCAGCTCTTGCTGGCTTGGAAGTAGAGGAGACCACATAGAAAGCTTGGGAAGAAAATGAATTTTGCCAACAACCAGCAAGCCTAGAAGAGGATTCCATGACTCAGATGCGAACTGCATCTCTAGCTGAGACATTGAGTTTCATCTTATAAGACGTTAAGAAGCAGAACCAGTTGAGCTATGCTATGCCCAGATTTCTGACCTGTAAAAAATGTGAGATAAATGGATATTATCAACAAGTTTGTGGAAATTTGTTCCAGTGACAACAAAAGTGGATATATTTTTTAATGTTTAAAACTGTGTATAAGTAGTTCTTAAGCAAGATATGACAGAGGGATTAAATGCATAGGCTTTAAAGTAAAATGGAACTTGTGTCTATATTTCAGATTTTATGTTGATTAACTGTCTGATTTGGGGGAAGTTCTTTGATCTATTCAAGTCTCAATTTCCAAATCTGTCAAATCGAGTAATGATTGCTCTTTTAGCAGTTTAAAAAAAAATTTTTTTTTTGGTGTATGTGTGTGTGTGTGTGTTTGTATTATATTATACATAATAGAAAACACTAAAAATGCATTTTATTATTATTTTATAATTGTTATTTCAGCTAGCAACTATGCACTGAGAATTTAAATTTTAAGTCTTGAAAAAGAATAATTAAAATCTAAATAGAAATGTTCTTTTCTGATTTCTTCCATTTCCCTTCCTTTCTTATCTTGCTTTTGGCCCTGTCAACCTCACCATCAATGAATTTTGTTTTAGACTCAAAGTAAGGAAGCTCTAGCAGTAGTTTACCTGATCCTCATCTCAAAGATCCAAGTGTCAAGCTTCTCACAGAAGTGGCACCTGACCCATTCAACTTTTCCTGCAGAAAGATCTTTTTTGATTTTTGACTTTAGTTTGGCACAGTGCACAGGATCAGGGTCAGAAGATACAATGAAACCATTGTGTTCAGTATGCATGATCCACATAGACCTCGGCTGGGGAGAAGAGGCTGGCCAGGTCAGCTTGAGGGAGAAGAACTGCAGACATGGAGACCATGCCCTAAACATGTTACACCATGGCAAGCTCATGAAAAATGTCCACAAAGGCAATTCCAAAGGGCAGGGGCTGGCAGCACTCAACCCTGGAGGGGGAAAAGGGGGCAGGCAGCAAGGCTTTGGCTGTTCATGGTATATGACACATGCATACTGAAAAAGCAGATGTTGGTAAACCGTTCTGTCAAAGTCGTGGCTCTCCTGAGGCATTCCAAGCTCCAGTAGTTTCTGGGCCAGGATATTTGGTCACAAGACCCTGAGGGTAGACTTTGGCATACAGATTCATTGAAGTGAGGGGTTGTCAAGTCAGTGACATAAGATGAATAAAGCTTAAGTAATACCTGCTTATCTGAATCTCTGTTTGTTTATGATTTAAGAAACATTAGTTGAACTCTGTTTTAGGCTCTGTGTTAGAGATTATAGGAGAAACAAAGATGAATAAGACCATTGTCTACAAAGAGTTTCTGATGGGGATGCCCTCCCCGCCCCCCCCACACCAACTTCCCAGGACAGTTGGCAATGTCTAGAGACATTTTTGGTTATCACAACTGGGGAGGGGTGGAGAAGTAGAAGGTGCTATTGCATCTAGAGGGTAGAGGCCAGGGATGCTGATAAACATCCCACCAAAACACAGGACTGCCCTCCTGACAGAGAATTATCCAATCCAACCCATCCAAGTTGTCAATAGTGCTGAGGTTGAGAGACTAAGATATAAAACAAGTCATGCCAAATATGAAAAAGGAATCTCAGATGGGAAGCAATGGGTACAGGCAGGGAGAGAGCAGATCTTCCTAGTCTCAAGGTCTTATATTGAAACCTTGGTAGGAGGTGAACAGGAGTTTCTTTGAAAACTTGATCCCAGAAACATAGCTAATGATAGAGAGTCTCACCAGAATGAGGGTAGGAAAGCAGATCAGACACAGCTGCTGCTTATAAACTGCATCCCTGCGGTGTGGCCCACAGTAGAGTTCTACTTCAAGTTTATACTTTGAATTAAAACCAGGAGCATAAAATAACTATGAGTCTCCTTCTTAGTATCATTTATTTTATCCCACTTGTCAGGCCTTTTATAAGCTCTTAGGTTTCAGTAGTATAAGTTTACATATTCTCTGAAGTGAAATTTGTAATATATTTTTGTGCCTTTTGTTTTTAACCCTAGGAAGTATTTTGACTAAAATTCGTTCTTGCCCTTCGAACTGTGATCTCAGTCTCTTAAAAGAAGACCAGGAATTACGCAGGAAGGTAAGATGAAGACTGTGGAAGTTGGCTTTGAAAAGATCTTGAAAACAGCAGTCCCTGATTATTAACTATGATTTCTTAAAATATATATCCAGGTAGAATGTAATTTGGTCTTCAAAGGAGGTTTTGAAGTACAGGACATGCTAAAGCAGCTGACGCTTATGAAATCAGTAATGCCCATAAATTTTTATTACATCCGAATCAGACTTCTTTAAGCTGTTGAAGACGTTAGTTAAATTAATCAGTCTACATTCCTCTTTCCAGCTTGGGTGGGGTGATTAGAAAATGTGCTGATTGTACTGTGCTTTATTTGGTATGAAAAAAGCTGCCATGAGGTCTATCCAAAAAATATCTTGATACATTTATATAAATTACATAGACTGGGCTTCCAAATGTTGGTTAAATTGATTTTTACAGGATCAAGTTTTTAGGTACCTAATCATTTCCAAAACCTGTATCTATGTAGACTTTTGAGTTGTAAGTATTCCGAAAACTTATCTTAGATAGATAATTAAAATGAAAGGAATGTGCTCCAACCCTGCCCTTTCCAAGACAAATGATCTGAATCATGATCTTAATTCTCCACCATTCTGACTAAATAAACATAGGTATGTAGAGAAAACTACTGTGCCATTATCTTTATTTAGTTAGTTAATCCTCACCTGAGGATATTTTTTCCATTGATTTTTTTAGATAGAGTGGAAGGGAAGGAGGGAGAGAAACATCGATGTGAGAGAGACACATTGTTTGGTCGCTTCCTGTATGTACCCCCTGACTGGGGCTGGGGATCAAACCTGCAATCCAGGTATGTACCCTTGACAGGAAATCAAACCCATGACCCTTCTGTGCACAAGCCAACGCTCTAACCACTGAGCAACACCAGCTAGGGCTTGTGCCATTGTCTTTAATTTTTGCTTTCATCTTTAAATAGAGACCAACCATCTGATTGAATAAATTACCGAGTTTTTAATGTCCATATGAGCACTTATAGTATTTACAATTGTGGTTGTTTCTGTATTAAAGAGGAAAGCTTAGGAATAAAAAATTTGGTGAAATTTGGAAGAATGAAAGATAGTATTTACTAAGTGCTAGAAAATTACTATGTGCCAGGAAATGTTCTCACTCTACATCAAATGACTCATCTTATTCTCACAACCAAATGGGCTATATACTACTATTATCATCGTTTTCCTTATTTTACAGGTGACAAAAATAAGGCATGGGAGATGGAGTAAGTTAGCCAAAATAACTTTGTTAATAAGTGTATAGATGGGATTTGTACCAGACATTCTCTTTCTGGAACTCATATTTGTATCCATCATGAAATAATACTTTGAAAGAGTTGTGTATTTCTTTATCCTTTCAGCCAGGTATATGTTTTCTACTTCTTGGGTCTTATAACATTAACTGAAGGGCTAGCATAGACAAACAAAGGACCATTTGCTGGGAAGGATACAAGTTCATATCCTTTATACATATTATGTATTAGATACTTTTATGTATACTGTTTGGGAAACAAAAGAAAAGATATCTCCATGAAAATTCTAATATATTCTGTGTCTAATATTAGCTTTTTAAATATTTTTTGGTAAAATTTTTATACCAATTGTTGGCTTTAAACTTTGGGATTATAAGAAAGGCTAAAGTAGGTAAGATGAGAAAGAATACAATCATCCAGAAAACCTAAAATTCTTTTCTCTATTTTCTGAGTTTACATGTTTAATTAAGGAGTTCCTTTTAAATTTTACTTTCAATAATATATTTAAAAAATTGTAAGTCAGTTGCTTGGGACAACACGCTCTTCCCTGGGGGTCAGGCACTTTGGGAAAGTGTCTTAGGTCTGACTTGTCCTAGGAAACAGCTTGCGCATGTTGGAAACATGTCTCAGTAAGATCATTGTTGTGGGAAGACAGAGCCAAAAACACACCCAAAAACACACCCAATACTTACTAGATTTAATAAGTATTATAACCCCATAATACAAGTGACGGAGTGCTCGGGACTGTGGGGTTATAATACTTACTAAATCTAAATCTGAGACTCCCTATTTCAATGTAAGTGTTTTCCCCCCTTTTTCGTCTTCTCATGGTATAAGGAATTAATTTGGCTCTTCAACTAATATTAAAATCTCTGACCTAGAAAATTCATAGGGTGGCTGTGGAGAAATAGAGTTAATGTTGGACTTCATGCACGAAGCATCAGCTTTTCACACAACAGATGACCGAAAAACAGTTGAATTTGTGGTTCTACGTGGCCAGAAATGCTGGTTGTTCCTTGGAGGGCAGAGACAGAAGTCAGGGTGCTACTTAGTTGAGGAGTCTCTTCAGGTCAAGCCTGAGCTGCCCTGCCAGGGACACCTCTGGGTACTGCTAATGGAAAACCTGTCCGGAAAATTTCTTTGGTAAACCCACCAGACGTGAATTAAAGAAAGAAAAAATAGTATTCTTGTTGGATGGTCTAAGGATTTAGGCTGGATTTAATTTCGAGCTATGATATATATATATATTTTGGATGATAATAACAGCACTGATGGAATTGAACATGATGTCATATTTATTTGCTTTGATACTTCAGATGCACCTGGTTTTTGTTGTTATCTCTGACTTGCCATTTTGTGATCTTATTAACACACGCATCTTAGCAGAGTACCTTCACCCCAAACCTTCCTCCTGTGCTTTAAAAAAAAATAGCTCACATTACCTGGGCCGGCACTAAAGCTTCTTTGCTGCTCACTTCTGATCTTGCCAGGGCAGTTCAAAAGCATCAGTAATCCTCAGGATTCAGCTCTTTGTTCACTATTTCCTCTTTTTAAGGCTGTTCCTCTTTTGATGCAAGAATCCCCTTGCTCTTTATCTGGCCAGAAAGACCCTGTTAAGAGTTTTGGGGAAACTTCTGCTGCTAAGTGGAGCTTAATTGTGCTAGCCCCATCATGCTTTTCCACAGCACTGTCATTGGCCGGTGAACTCAAGCTTGCTTTCCCCACACAAAGATTTACCCCCTCACTGGTCCCATCATTGTCGCTCTTCTCCATTAACTGATTGGTTCGTGGAAAGAATGATGGCTAGGGGGCACAGACTCTGGACAATAAGACGGGGATCCTGGGCTTTGCTTCCTACCATATAACACAATTAAACAGGCTTATCATGTCATAAGGTGCACAGCTTTTAAAAATATATATATGTTTTTATTAATTTCTTTAGAGAGAGAGGGAGGAAGAAAGAGATAGAAACATCGACCCACTATTTCCTGCATGCCCCCTCCTGGGGATCGAGCCAGCAACCCAGGCCTGTGCCCTGACAGGAATCGAACTGGGGCCTGTCAGTCCATGGAATGACGCTAAGTCCACTGAGCCACACTCACCGGGCAACTTTGAGATTAAATATATTTTTTCTTCTTATAATGTTTTCTATTTAGCAGCTTTATAGAAATGCTGTAATAAGTGCACAAGAAAGGATGTTAAATGTTCCATTGATCACATATGCTATGTACAATGCATTTTGCCAGATGTTACTTATATCCTTAATCTTCTAAAGCATTTTAAGTGCTATCCTCCCCACTCCCAGAACTATTTTGTAGATACTTTCTTAGTTTGTCTTTATAAAAATCCTATGGTCTGTGTAGAAAAAATATTATCTTCATTTTCAGATTAAAACAACCTTAAATTCATGGACTTTAATTAATCTAAGTTGTAAAAATACTGAGAAGACTTAACTGCATGTCTTCCAGCTATCACTTATTGGCCCTTTTTTTTCATTATTCTTTGTGTGTGTGTGGTATGTGCTCCTAGTGGGAACCAAACCTGGGAATCTCTGGTCCATAGGCCGACGCTCAACTGCTGAGCCAAACTGGCCAGGGTGGCTCTTTTCAATACACCATAGTTTACAAACATTTTAAAAATACTTCTTGGCTCTCATTTTGTGTTGTGTTTGAAAGAGCATTAATTATTATTATTATCATTATTATTATTATTATTTTTAACCAATTTTGTGTAAGAATGGTATGCCTCATAAAGCAAATTTTTAGTTCATGAACTTGAAAATCATAGTCTGAATTTTATCATTTTACTTTAAAATATTTCTTGTTATTTCTGCAATGGGTCAGAGTCTGAGTAGCCATACACCTAGTACATAAAATGTGACATTCTGGAACAAATTTGCACCACCAATTTCTCTTTTAAAGTGTAGGTATTCATTTTTCTGAAAACATTACTATTGGAATAATCTTTTTTTTTAAATGATGATTCTGTTTGGCTTTAGGTAAGGTAATGGATCTATTTCCTACCTTTTAAATGTTTATGATGTCCTAGTTAAAGTGTTATTTTCAGATACAGATTCAAGATAGAAGTTTGTGCTTGCAGGTTGTTTTACTTCCTCCACAGGAATGGGCTCGCACACATGGTACTCACATGGGAATCCCCTGCACACATTTACCTCCTTTTTTGAATTTAAAACCTTAATTTCTTTGTGTTTTTGTTCCTTTTGGGGCTCATTTCTTTGGAGATAACTAGTTCCTATGGTTTTATGTCTCTAAAACATCTATTTGAAGGAATTTTTAACACATTAACTTAAGATATTCTTTAAGCGAAATTCAAAGATTCATAACATTTTTGCTATTTTTAGAATTCACAGGTGCTTTTTTTATGACTAAGCAACTGGAGATATAATTCATTGTTGTTATTTAGTATACTTACTGAAATGACCTGTAATAGCTATTTCTTCAAGATCTACAATGTGCTTACTACCATTTCGGATGCTGTGAGAGATAGAGAAATATACTACATCCCATTTCCACCATGAATTTAATTGAATCCTCAAGATAGATATTCACATATGAACCAAATAGAAAGCAATTTAATGCACTCTATCATGAAACACCTATACTTTAACAAAGTAGGAACTCTGGAGGATAAAACAAATATATTTTATAATTTTTGGTGGCAATTTCAATTTTCTATCAAGTGAGATTGAGTAAAATATCTAAACAACTCATGAAGATGTGCCATCAAATTTAAAATTTAAATACTTAGCCCAGCCGATGTGGCTCAGTGGATTGAGCGTTGGCCCATGGACTGAAAGGTCCCAGTTTGATTCATGGTCAGGGCACATGCCTGGGTTGTGGGCTCCATCCCCAGTAGGGCATTGATCTGTACAGGAGGCAGCCAGTCGATATTTCTCTCTCACATTGATGTTTCTATCTCTGTAAAAAAATCAATAATAATAATAATTTAAATAATTACGAAAACATGTTTTAAGTACTCTAGTAAGATACACAAATCAAATATATTTAGTTGGGACAATTCAAAGCTCTCATATTTTTAAAAGAAATTTGGCAATCTTTAATTTCTTTAGGAATCAAGTAATTAAAAATACTATAGTGGCTTCTTTTCTGAGAAAACACCAAATAGGGGATGATGCTGGTGCTGTGGGAGGGCCCAGGGGCTCCAGGACCCTGGAATGGGAGGCCACGGAGGCTCCCATGAAGGATTTGGTATCCAGACCAAGGTTGCAGCTAGTTGGGGCCAGGGCCTAGGACACAGAACTCTCAGAGGCAAGACCGAGGACAAGGACTGGATCCCTGTCACCAAGCTGGGCCGCCTGATAAAGGACATGAACACCAAGTCCCTGAATGAGATCTATTTCTTCTCCCTGCCCATCAAGGAATCTGAGATCATTGACGTTTTCCTGGGGGCATCTCTCAAAGATGAGGTTTTGAAGATTATGCAGTTGCAAAAGCAGAGCCTCCCTGGCCAGATGACCCTGTTCAAGGCATCTGTTGTCATTGGGGACTGCAATGGACATGTCAGTCTGGTGTTAAGTGCTCCAAGGAGGTAGCCTCTGCCATCTGTGGGGCCATCATCCTGGCCAAGCTCTGTACTGTCCCTGTGCGGGGAGGCCACTGGGGGAACAAGATGGGCAAGCCCCACACCGTCCCTTGCTAGGTGATTGCCACTGTGGCTCTGTGCTGGTGCTCCTCACCCCTGCCCTTGGGCTCTACATTGTCTCAGCCCCTGTGCCCAAGAAGCTGCTGCTGATGGCTGGTATGGACGACTGCTATACCATGGCCAGGGGCTGCACTGCCACCCAGGACAGCTTCGCCAAGGCCACCTTCGATGCTGTCTCCAAGACCTACACCTATCTCACCCCGACCTCTGCAAGGAGACCATGCTCACCCAGTCTCCCTATCCGGAATTCACCAACCATCTTGTACAGATCCACACCAGAGTTTCTGTGTAAGGGACCCAGGCTCCAGCTGTGGCCACCACATAATTTTATGCAAGAAAAATGAAGTGACTTGAGCTTGTTTAAAAAAATACCAACACTAAAATCTTTGATGAAATATACCTTTATTGATACAGGAGCTATAGAGACTGAGAAGATGAAAAGGACCACAAAAAAGATGCTTTAAATTGATAGCTATCATACCTGGACTTTGTTCTGAAGGTAATCAAATCAATTAATTTCATAATAACAGAAATGTCATAATAAAGCATGAGTTGAGTTCACTGGAGATTTGATGACACATCTACGTCCCCGTGTTTCGCTTTGTTTTCCTGATTACTGTAACTTGTGAATCCATAGCAACATTTTGCAAGTTCAAAATATTTCAGCTACATTTTTGTGAAAAACCATGAGTGAACTAATATCAAGGAATTCCAGGCAATGATCTTCTTGCTAATGATAATGAAGCACATTTGAGAAGCGTGCAAAGAAAAAGAGAGTTTTAATGCAACGATCTTATAAATACAAGTCATGCCTAATTTGCTTCTTCCACAGCCTGGTACTTTTCAAACGACTTTGCAGTAGCATTTTGTAATAATATCTTACAGGAGATCTCAATATATAAACAGTTGAACATTGAATTGTTTTGGTTGAAGAGAGAGAGAAACTCAGTTAGGTTCGCTGCTCCGTCTCCCTCTTCCCACCGTCGCCGGACTACTCAGAATCCCTTGTTGAACTGTAGGGCTCCATTTCTCCAATGGGACAGTGTGCTTTCTGGACTCATCAGCATGGGCCACACAGTTATCTCAAGTTCCAGTAAATTAGCTCCACAGACATTTTCTGGTCCTGCGCTTAGATGTATGTTGTTGAAAGTCACGGGCTGTGGAGCTCAGGAACTTCAATGGCAGTGTTAGAATGAAGCCCATTGAAGTAGAGACAGGTTGACAAAGAACCTGGTGGCCTTCGATCCTCTGGCTTCTGTGTTCCTGAAATCCAGCTGCCTTTCTGCCTTTCCCATAGGCTGGTAGTTCAAACCTTCCTTCAAATTCCTTTTTGCTGAAAACTAGTTCAAGCTGCAATTTCTTTATTTGCAACCAATAGCCTTGACTTAATACAAATACCAAGATTCCTTTTATTTATTTTTTATTCTAACAACATTTTAGAAGCTGTTTCATGTGAGATAATGCAGGGTGTGTGTGATGCAATCTGTCATCATCGACACAAGAATTCAAGGAGAGAATCTGGACTATAAAGCAATCAATGCCAAAACGATAGCTAACTGTGTTTCTGTATGATCAATAATTCTATAGTCATTCTGTGGAAGGCATCACTGAATCTATATACACTTTCTGTCTGCTAAAATACTTAATTTTCCCCCATTTATTTAATTTCACTGATAAGGGAGAAAGTCTGAATGATCATTCTGGGAAAGAAAAATCAAGTCCTTGGAGAACTGGAGAAATTGAAGATAACTCACAGGATATATCTTACTTGGAGGAACTGGAAAAACACAGATATTCAGTTTGGTGAGCAACTATATCCCATCTTTCTATTTTAAAAATTATATTTATTGAATTTGATTATCTTTACTCATTCCATTATTTTATTATTCCTTATTCAATAAATACTGATTGCATGCCTATTACAGGCTATATAGTTTGTTCCCTTACTTGGGAAAGTTCACAGTTCAATGAAGTATGTAGATGTTTAAAAACATTAATGTGATGTGATAACATTATTTTTTAAATGCACAAATTGCCATATATACACATGGAGAAAATGATGGCCAAATTATTTAAGAACAGAGAATAGTTCTCAGAAATGCTTTAGCCAAATATTGGGGAGAAGACTGCAGTGGAGAATGGTGACAGCTTGGTGTGGACAGTATCTGGAGATGGAATTTGAAAGCATAGCTGGGGTTGACACATGCTATAAACCTTAGTTCTTGGGACTCTAAGCAAATCATAGTTTTGCTTTCTTTACCCAGTGGTGTGTGTATGGGTATATCTGTACATGCAAGCATGCATATAACAAATGTGAAAATACATGTAGATGACTGAGCAATGAAGCTTTTCAGAAGAAATGGTTCAGGATTTTGCAATGGTGGGGTTCATCAAAGGTGGGAGGAGGAACAACAGTGAGGGATGTGTGCAGCAGTCAAAGCCATCTGTTCCAAACCACTGCCCACCTCAAGAATCATGCCCTGAATGATCTTTCCACTGGACATTTATCACCTTATGGCTTGATTCCCAGAGAGTATTCTTAGTCTTCCATCCTGGAACCACCACTGGGAGGACATACTACCAGCTCACGCTTTCTTTACCCAGTCACATTTTCTACAAGCCCTACTGGTTTTCACTTAAATTCTAAAGTCTAAATACTTTCACCAGTGCTTTTCTCTAGCTGCTGAAGTGTGGTCTCCAGGCTAAACAGTGTGTTGTTCTCTGGATCAAGAGATGCAGGCTGGTGCATGAGGAATATCAGGCAGGAAGGGGAGCCCAAGAACCTAGAAAACAAGAAAACAAAAAAACAATTAATGCAATTTTCAAATAGGAAAAATACAAGCTCCCTGTTATTAAGAAATCTTGGTTTGTGATAGTTTCTAGGGGGAGGATGTCAAATACGCATTAAATTTTATTTGGTAAAATAACAGCAAAAGCAGATGCAAGGTACTGACCGTAGGGTGCAGATGAGAGAGGTAGAGCTTCTGGTAGTCACATCTAAATTCTTGACCCCTGTTTGCGGTTTGCCTGGACTGGGGAAGCAGCTCAATTAAGCTCTCAGGATCCTAGCTTCTCAGTCTGTCTCTGTTGCCTCTCCAGGTTTTCTCTGCTGACTCAGGTCTCTGTTAGCCTACATTGATTGGGATGACCTTCCAGAGTGTAATGTATGCAATTTCACAATATCATTATTATTTTATACATAAAATTAAAAGGCTTAAGAATTTACAAGGATCTCAGAACTTTGGTTTCTGATAGATCCTTTAAGATGCAACTCTGAGGCATTGCACTTTTAGTAAGCTTTTCCTCATTCTCAAAGTCAAGACTGGGGACAGTGAAATACAGCTCCCAGGAAAAATTCTGTCCTCCATCTGCTTTAGTAAAAAGAGTTGAGCCCTGGCCAGTGTGACTCAGTGGTTAGTGTGTTGGCCCACGCAAGAAAGGGTTGTGTGTTCGATTTCCGGACAAGGTTGTATACCTGGGTTGCAGGTTCGATCCCTGGTCCGAGCACATGTGGGAGGCAACCGATCGATGTGTCTCTCTCACATCTCTCTCTCTCTCTCTCTTTCTATAAATGGGAAAAAATATCATTGGGTGAGAATTAACAACAACAACAAATGAAACAACAATTAAGCAAAAAGTTTAATTGGAACACAGGCATACTCATTTGGTTGTATATTGTCTTTGGCTGTTTTTCTCCACAATGGCTTAATTAAATGGTTAAGGCAAAAAGAGTATGGCCTACAAAGCCTAGAATGTCTGCTGTCTAGCTTTTTACCAAAAAATTTGCTCATTCTTATTCTACACAGACTTAGATGCTTCTCTGTTCTCTCACTCATTTATATTGTTTTAAGATATTCAGCCTGGCTGGTGTAGCTCAGTTGGTTGAGCATCATCTCATGTGCCAAGAGGTCACTGGTTTGATTCCGGTCAGGGCATATGCCTGGGGTTGTGGGCTCAAGACCTGGCGGGAGCCATGCAGGAGGCAGCCAATTGATGTCTCTCTCTCATAAATGTTTCTGTCTCTTGCTCCCTCTCCCTTCCTCTCTCTCTCTAAAAAAAATCAAGAAAACATATTTTATAAAAAGATATTTGTATGCTTATCTCCTTCACCAGGATAGGTTTCTTATGTGTTTTGGTTTTCTATTGCTGCATGAGGAGTCACTGAAGGCTTGGTGGCTTGAACAACCATCTTATTTGCTCACAGTTCTGTGGATTGGGAATTCAGGCAGGACACATCATGGAAAGTTTGTCTGCTCCAACATGTTTGAGGCTTCAGTTAAGGTGGCTCAGAGAGCTGGGATCTGGCGGGGATGCCTTAATGGACACCTATATCTGATGCCTTGGGTTTGCTCTTAACTGAGATCCTTGCTTTTCCACATGGGCCTCTCTCCACTGATGCTTGGGCTTCCTCACAGCATGGAGCCTGGGTTTCCATTAGCATTCTGGCTAAGACAGAAGGTGGGCACTGCAGCTGTCTTAAAGCTAAGCCTTTGAAGTTACACAGTGACTTACAGTGAATTCTATTGGTCAAAACAAGTCCTGGGACAGACAGAGGAGGAATAGACTCTACCTCTCGATGCCAGAGCAGAAAGATGACATTGCAAATAAGCAGGTTGGGATGAATTCTTTTTTGGTGGAACATCTTTGGAAACATAACCTACTGAATTTTGCTTTGTTGATTTCTGTATGCATAGCATCTAGCTTAGGATTCGACAAATATTTCTCAAACAAAACAAAGAAGCTCAAAGAAAGGAAAGACTGGACTTTGTAGATAGACCTAAGTATGAATTCTTTTTGCCACTGCTCTGTAACCTTGAATGATTTGCTTAAATTCTCTGAGGCTGTTTGGTCCTGTAACCAACTAGAATAATAATGCCTGTATTGTGGATTTTATGGTTTTTATGAAAACTGAGAGATAACGTATTTAAGATAGCCTGTGCAGTGACTGGAAGATGTAGCATTTTAATAAAGCCAACCAATATAATTAACGTTAATGATAATGTATTTTGAGAAAATGTGTTTTCCAAAGGTTAAAATAGAAGGCATAGGTCACCCTAGAATGATCTCTCACTTTCCATATCTGCCTTTCTTTCTTCCAACACACAGAGCTCTTGACTACACAAAGGCCTTCACACTTGACCCTCCCTTTGGACTGTTCTCTCTGTTCTTAGTGGTGTGGTTGGCCATACATATTGCAGGTCTCAGCATCATTTTTCTTCCTAGTGAGTCCTTTCCCAACTATCTTGCATAAACTAGTACCCACCTTCTTCTGGTTATTTACTTTCTCATCCCCTTGTTCATTTCTTTTAAAGTACCTACCACAGTTTAAATTAACATTTTATATTTATTTTATTTATTTGCTTATTTCCGTTTTCTCTGACTAAGTAGAAGCTGTAAGCAGGCAGGAACCTGTCTTGTCTGCTCACTCTCGGGCATCTGTGCCCTGGCTGTAGAATCCTGGTTTATAACAGGCAATCAGTAAATATTTATTGAACGAGTAAATAAAAGGAAAAACGAGTGACCAGTCATCTTCTTTCCCCTTCTGTCTCTCAACTCCCTGGGCTGTCATACCTATTTATTTCTTTCTAATCCCTTACTTCTCTTCAGATTGCTACCATTAAAAAAAAAAAGTAATATGGGATATTTAACCGCTGTAAACATTTCTTTTTAAACCAGATTTGAGGATATGGGGGCTGCTGAGACCTCTATAAACTTGTGTTTTAAATGGTCTCACATACAATCTGAACAATTTCCTTGATGTTTTATTAGGGCTGGTAAATCATTTATTGCGGCAGCCTTTACCTAAATCCTCTCCAAATCCCCATAAAATGCTTTTAACACAGAATACTGTACTACCCAGCTTCAAAGATGTATGTAAGATGTTGTGTGGGAAGTATGTGCCCAGTGCAGCAAGCGGAATGCGCGCCTTCTCCTTCTCTCACGTGGTCCCGCGCACCCCTGGGCCCTCCTCCCATCCATGCCTGCACTGAACTTGCTGATTTGGGTAAATTTGGTAGCCTGCTAAAAGTCACAGATTCCAGTTTTTAAAAAACGTGTAGGTCCTTTAGCTACTCAAATGTAAGTTGATTTCATTTGTAGCTGCCAATAATTAAGAAAAAAACTTCCAAAACATAATTTTAAGACTGTTATATTTTCTCAACCAGAAAGATACCCAACTTAATCTCTTCACCTTTTTCACCCAGTTTCCCCAACCCACACCTCTGACAGCTGTCCGTCTGTTCTTTGTATCTATGAGTCTGTTTCTCTTTTGTCTCTCGGTTTATTTTGTTCATTAGATTTCACAAAGGTGAAGGGATTAAGCCAAAAAAAAAAAAAAAAAAAATCTCATAGACAAAGATAACAGTGATTTCTGGGGGGTGGGAGAAGTAGAAGAGGTTATAGGGGGGATAAATGGTGATGGAAGGAGACTTGACTTGGGGTGGACCTGAAATCTATATAATGTGTTAACCCATGTCACCCTAATAAATTCACTAAGAAAAGAAAGATACCCAACTAAGTTGCCTCTGAGTGTGTAAATGAGGACACTGTTGCAGAACATTTCACCTGGGTGGGCCTTCTGGCAGCAGTTCAGGTGATCACAGAGGATATGTACATTTTTTTAGACATATAATGGTGTGATAGGATGACTGTCTTTTGCTAATATTTTAGATAACACTTGCTATCAAAAGTATGTCTCAATACTTTTGTAGTAGAGGCTTTCTTTCCATCTCATATACTCCCGTTGTACCCCGCATGCCTTCTTTGTGCAACTCAACACATGAAGAGTAGGTGTTCAATAGCCC